GTCCCCCGGTCCGGTAGGGGGGAAACACTAAGGGTTGCGACCCTTTGCGGGACAGGGAAAAAAAAAAAAAAAAAAAAATGACCGGGAGGGGGGCTTAACCCTTGACTTGGGGTTGTTAGCACCACGCTCAGCCAGTGAGCGAACCAGCCATCCCTATGTGGGATCCGAACCCAGGGCCTTGGTGTTATCAGCACCACACTCTCCCGAGTAAGCCACGGGCCGGCCCTATAAATTTTTGATTAAGTCCAATTTGTCAAAAATTTTTATAGTTAATGATTTTTGAGTTCTAAGAAATATATGCCAATGCCAAGGTCAAGGGTTCAGATCCCCGTACCAACCAGCTGCCAGAAGAACAAAAAAACAAAAAACAATTTGCCTATTCAAAGGATGTGATTTTCTCCTACTTTTTTTTTTGGAACTTTTATAGTTTTGGCTTTTACGTGTAGCTCTATGGTCCATTTTGCGTTCATTTTTGTGTACAATGTGAGGTAAGGGTCATGATTTATTCTTTATGTGTATGGGTAGCTGGGGTTTTCAGTGCCATTCAATAAAAGACTGTGTTTTCCCATTGAATAAACCTCTACACTTTTGTAAAAACTCAGCGATCATGTATAAGTGGTCTGTTCTAGACTCCTGTCTTCTTGTCCCTATGTCTGTCTGTACCCCAATATGAAACTTTGTTGATTACTGTGTTTTTTAGTAAGAATTGAAATCAGGTGTTGGAAGTGCTTCAGTTTTGTTCTTTTCCAAAATTTTTTTGATTATTCTAGGTTATTTTCATTTTCATATAAATTTTAGAGTCAACTTGTCAATTTATACAAAAATAGATCCTCCTAGGATCTATAGAACAATTTTTTTTGGCAGGTGGCCAGTATGGGGTCTATAGATCAATTTAGGGGGAACTGACATTTTAACAATTCTTAGTTTTCCAATGCTTGAACATGGTATGCCACTCTAGGTCTACTCTTAATTTCTCTCAGTGCATAGGTCTTGTACGTTTTTTTAAAATGTATTTCATATTTCTGCATGTTATTGCAAGTGGTATAGGTTTTGTTTTTGTTTTGGGTGGCTGGCCGGTACAGGGGTCGAACCCTAGACCTTGG